GCTGCCGAGCCCCCTGCGCGGCTGCTGTCATGTCAGGAACCACCCGGGTGCCCCGGCCAAGTTCGTGGCGACACTTGTCCTCCGGGGCATCGTCTCTGTGCCGCCGGGTTTACACACCTCTCTCTTTCCACGTGTGTTGCAGGTAGGAAAATGACTCGCCTGGCACAGGAGCGGGAGTTACGAGCCATGTTCCTGTGAGTCCTGCAGAATTCAGAGCAAATGCCTGGAAAAGTCGAGCTGCACAGAGCAGCGCCGCAGCTCTTGTGAGCCACGGGCATCGCCGCCTCTCAGACCCACTCCCCTGGCCCCGAGCGCTGCCAGCATTGCCCGTCCCACGAATGGCTGCTCAGAGGAAGCACTTGGTGAAAGATTTCAATCCTCACATCACCTGCTATATCTGTAAAGGCTATCTCATCAAGCCCACTACAGTGACCGAGTGCCTCCATACCTGTAAGTACCACTTTGCAAAATATTCCCCCCATCGTAAGTGATGCTTCCTTGAAGTGTTACGTGCTTAGTATGATCTCTGTGCTGGTTTTTCTTTACTTCTGAAGTGTTGCATTAAATGCTGAACAGTTTCTGATGGGTTTTCCTAGACACTGGTCTGCCATCTGGGTCATCTTGAGTGCACGTGGACTCTGCTTAACACCTTGCAGAGTAAAGGTTCCCTTTTCTTTTCCCCAAGGTAGTGGTGATTGTGCTGCCTCTGCGTGTCACTGTGGACTGATCAGAAGTAAGATCGTTAGGTCAGGTGTGGTATTTTGATAATATAACTATGCTTTTGAAACTGAAGGCAGCATACCTGTTCACAGTGTGCATGATGGATACACCAGCTGGGGCAGCACTGGCTCACATCTATGTGTTATGTGTGCCATGGCACAATGCATACAAACACTTGAAAGTTGGCAAAATATTTATTTAAGGAGCAGATCTCTCAGTGAAATTGACTGAGGAAAAAATATTCAGGTTTTCATATGCTCCTAATAATTCCAAAACATTGGGGGGTGTGAGTAATGTTAAAGGTATGAATGGGCCTGTTACACTTGGTCATCCAACTTCCACAGGCAAAATTAATTTCATGCTTTATATTTATTTCTGAATGGAAGATATTTTGCTTGGACCTTCTTGAGAATTTGGTGTCTTTCCAAATAAAATTTGTATTCTTCTAAAAGAAGAGTAAGGGAAACTGTGTGTTTTCTGGTACATTTCCCATTTAAAAACCTTTAATAAAAGATTAAATTGATTAAAAGCCTCATCTCAGCATTTCATGTAATTTCTGCATGGCGTTTTGCTGTTGTTTTTGTCTTCATTTTTACGTTATGGTGTTATGTCCCTATTATACCAAGCACATAGACAATTGACAGAAGTCACTCTTATATGTTGTTCACAGTACAAGGTTTACCATTATAATAATATTAATTTTAGAGTAAGTTTTGACATAAACTAATGCTTAGCTGACTTTTTCAAAGTCTGTTATCAGCTAAGGATTGTGATGTGCTTTGTGGTATTCTTCTTCTGGTTTGGGTTATGTGGTAAAGGGATCTAAGTTTAGGAGGGAAGAAGTTAGGTGAAGTGTCTTTATAAGGAATATTTTAAATAAAACAAGAGGGAGAGAAGTATATTAGCTATTATCTTTCCCTTTAGAGAAAATAGAGAAAATTCCAGCAGTAGCTGATTTTTTTACAGTTGAAGTTTGACAAACAGCAGTAACTTTTAAAAGGCTGGGGTGAGGGGAAAAACATTGCATCAGAAATCAGTGCAGACTTAGGAAGAAAATGTGGTTTTATTATGGTATCTTCCTGTTTAGATAATTCATTTGTTTATTTACTTTTGCTCCAATTGCAAAACAATAATGGCAGGAGTGTATTTTTCTTAGCAGCATCTGTTTCTTTTTTTTCACTTGTAGCTTGTGAGCTCTTCACTGATACAGCAGTCCCCAGATTAGTACGTGTGAATTTTATTGAGCTCCCATATAGTTGCACAAGTCTCCTCACAGAAAAGCTGCCACATGTTTGGCTCATTAAGTAGAGCTGCAGGAAAGAAGGTGTTGTTCCTTGAAAGCAAATGTCGGTTGCCAAAATGCGAAGCTTACCATGTTGGGAAGGAAGACAAGAAACTTCAAGTGGTGATATGGAAGTCTTGTATCTGTAGAGGAAAAGAGGATCCGTGTGTGGCAGAATTCAGGAATATACTCTGATAAATTCTTTTGCCTGTTGGCTTTTAGAAAATACTTAAACTTTCTTTTTTTCTTTTTCTTTTTCTTTTTTTTTTTTTTTTTTTTGAAGTGCAGGTGTGGTTTTTCAGTCATATCTAGCAAGTTAGCACAAAATACAATGATTCTAACTGTCCTTTGATATTTGTCTTGTACTACTAATTGCCTTAACTTAAAACATACTTGTACAGATGATCAAAATCTGCAGATATTAATGGTTTAAGAAGCAGCATAAATTCGTTAGATACTGGAGGTACAATGTATGACTCTGAACAAGATGAAAAGCATGTATTGACATAGATCATAGAATCATAGAATCATAGAATCCTAGGGGTTGGAAGGGACCTCAAAAGATCATCTAGTCCAACCCCCCCTGCCAGAGCAGGGTCACCTAGAGTATATCACATAGGATCGCATCCAGGTGGGTCCTCCAGTGATCATAGAGGAACTAATGTGAGCAGTACTAGCCAAATCAACAGTTAATTCAGGTATTCGCTTATATCAGGATTTCATATTAATTAGTGTTATTTGCTGTTGTTTTTTTAAAAATTCAAATGATATGATATGCTTGTGATTTATCTGGAGCTTTTTCTTTTTTTTTTTAACTTCTTCAGGACTACTTGCAGTATCAAAAAGTAAAGGTACAGTAATTAGGGGTTGAAGATAAGGAAGAATTTTTTGTAAGAATATTACATTAGGTTGTTTAGCCAGATATTCAAATTCTGTATGTGCATTTGAATGGTGTTAGTGGTTGCTTGCAAGTAACTGGGGTCTGCACACGTAGGGTTTCTGTTTATTCCTTAGTACATGTTTTTGCAAAGTATTATGTTTTACTTCAATATCTGCTAAAAAGTAGAACTTTGGAAAAGTGAAACTGCTTCTTCACCTGTGACTGATACCCAGTTGTGACACTTTCTGACCTCAGGGGATGCACCCTCTTGAGAGGGTCTTTTTTTGTTATTATATGTTGCTATATGTAGCATGTAATATTACATGTTACTATACAACAACTATACCATAGAGCACTCCTTCCCCTCCAGGGCTGTGCACCTGAAATGAAGCTAGACTCTGTTACCTTTGAATGTGGTGGAAGTTGTGCTTAGAATCAGAGAAATACTGCAGAGCAGATTTGTTACACTCCTTAGTGAGCAATGTCATGTTCTTGTCTTTTTACTCTCAAATCACACAAAACTTAAACCATTTTGAAATAAATAAAAATAATATATTTGTGATACCTAGAGCAAGTAACACAGTTTAAAATGTCTATGAGAGTCACAGGTGAAGAAATTTTAAAAATCCCACCTCTATTTCATCTTGGCATAGCTAGTTGAAATCAGAAACCTCTAGCCCTTATCCAGTCAGTATGTGAAAGAGAATGCTGATTGATATTCTTGAAGAGGTGATCCTTGTATGTATTTTACTGTCTGAACTCAATCCTTATTATATCGTTGTGTGAACGTGTCTGGGTTTTGATTAGTGAAGGAGCTGAACTGTACTGCCAGTTGCTTCCTGTGCTTCTTTGTGTTTCAGGTGGGTAACAGAAGGAAAGATAGTTCAGATAGTTACAGAAACTGGAATGGCTGAGGAGCTACTTATTGGCTAAAGAATTCCACCTTGTGGTGTTTGCCCTAAGGTTGAACATGTGCAGACACTGCATCTTAAGAAAATCTTTGAGCTGGGAATCTTTTCAATTTCAAGGATAACTTCTGTTATTTTCAGTTCTAGAGGAGAATCTCAGTCATATTAATGAAGAGAAGTTACAGAAATCTTAACTACATATATTTTAAAACTTACCAGAGCTCATGCTTTAAGTATTTTCCTAAGAGCTCTGTTCATCTTCTGTGTAGGTGATTAAATTCTTTGTATTCAGTGGGTGCAGTAGCAAAATGCTTGGATTTCAGAGTATTAGTTCTAAAAAGTACATAGGAAAATGCAGGTATGTTTAGGTACAAAATATCACATTTGCTGCTTTGTACTAGACTTATTACCCTGTGGAAGCCTTAGGTAATGCACGTGCAAAAATCAATTAAGTCAAATAATTAGACTTTTAACAAAAGTTAATTAACAAAATTTAAAAGATCTGCAATACAATGAGAGTTCTGTGATTAGAGGTTCTTACAACCGTAAGCCAGCGGTAAATACCTCACAACTTAAGGTTAAGAAAAAATTTGCTCATATGCCCAGGGCCAGATGGTGCTGTCATAGCATCAGTGTTCTCAGCTGCTTTGGAGTCCCCATGTGCAGAGGACAGCACTGTGCCCTACAAACTGCACTTGTTTGGCAGGACTTGTGTCCTTCCTGAGCTCATTTTGCCAGATCACCTGAAACCTGCCCAGCATCCTGCACCACTGGAGGCATTTTGCATGGGGAGTGCACCAAAAGTCAGCCAGAGAGCTCCGAGTCCTGCCTGCCAGACTGAGGGGGGAATGTTAATTATCATTTCAACCAAAGCTGCAAAGTTAATGTCCTGAAGTTGATATTTTAAAGCAGTTGGGAAAAACACCTACACAGACGTTTAATGTGTGTGTGTTACAGCATCAGTGGATGTGTAGTAACTCTTCTGAGCAAACTAAGGCAAAGAGAAATGCAGACTTTGCTTGTGAGGTGACAATTGTTAAAGGCTTTTCAAAATCACTTAACAGTTGTCATAGGATTTACTAGCTTGTTTTAGAGGTATTCTTATTTCTTTAGGTAATTGATGAAAGAAATTACAGTGTTTCAGCCAAAAGCACATTGCAATTGGAGCAGTCCATTTATTTTTTCAGTCCATTTACTGATGAATTTGCAGTTATTTCTGTTTATGTGAAGTAATACTAAACAGGGGATAGAGGTCATCTCCATCCAGAATGTTTTAACACAGTAATAATAGCAGGCAGACTTGTTCTCATCTGCTTGGGTTCCATTTTCTTATTAATGGCAGTAAAATCTACAATCTGCAATTAATAATTTGGAAGCAAGAGTAGTGTAGCACCTTGTTTGTTTTAATTTCAGTTTATTGGATTTTGAGTTCACGTTGTTGTTGTTCTGGTTTTCTTCATGCTTGTCATGGCCCATGATCCTGTTATTTCGTTTTAAGATTTAAGTATTGAATGTTTACTCTTAAGTTCTGTCTTTGCTATTGAAGATGCATAGCCACTTCGAACCTGTGTACAATTTCTATGGACTTTTCTATTACAAGAAGCATTTACAACAGTATTTTCATTTGCCAGCAACACTGTTGGAAAGAAAATATATGTGCATAAGTCATTTTCAAATCATCTGAAGTGACATTTGGCTCTGCTGGGCTGCAGCTCCCCAACATGCACTTTTACAGAACCTTCTCATTACATGTGTTACATGGTATGGGTTTTGTATTTTATGGTGCTTGGAGAATTATAAGTAGAAAAACACTGCATACTTCAAAGCACTGGTTGTCTAACCTGTTCTGCTGAACGCAGTGTCTTGGCAGAGCAGAACAGTCTATGGCTCTGAGGAATGAGAAGAGGATAAGAGACATTGTAGGTATTTGCTTTAAAATAACACTGATGCATGAAGTAGTTAACTGATATCATGAGGTCACATTCAAGAAGTGTTATTTAGATCTTGATCTAAGTTGATTTTTTTTTTTTTGTCCCTCAGTTTGTAAGACTTGTATTGTTCAACACTTTGAAGACAGCAATGACTGTCCCAGGTGTGGCAACCAAGTGCACGAGACCAATCCACTAGAAATGTTAAGGTAAGATGACATTGCATGACGTTTGCTGAAGTAGAAACACAAGAAGTTTAAAAAATAATCTTAACATCATTATCCTGAAATGCAGTTAAGTTTTTTTTCTTATTTGCATAATACATATACCAACTGCTCTTGACATAAGATTTTGTCAATCTCACATCTCCCAAGAAATTGGAAATTTGGTTGTTTTTTTCCAGACATAGTCAAAGGAGGAAAGATAAGGGAAAGGCACAGAAAGACTAGGTATATTGAACAAATTAAAATAAATATTTTAGTACCTCTATGCAACAAACAAATTAACTAGATACCTGTTATTCTTGACATGAAATTAAATTCTAGAGTTTCTTTTTTCAAATTACTTAGGCCATTCCAGACTGCATACATCTTTTTTTTTTTTTTCTTCTTAGAGCAATGTAGAAAATGAACCATGCAAATAATAGTGTTTTCCAGCAGATAGATCTATCGATCTGAATTGAAATCTGCTGTCAGATGAATGAAAAAACACTCATGAAAAAGTTTTGACACTAAAGATACCCTTGCTTGAGAATTTGCATTTTTTATATTGCAACAGTACATTTTAACAATTTTTTTTTCTTGACATTTTGGATTCTCCTTTAGCGATGTTATCTTGAAACAGAGTCCAAAGAAATCAAGAAATGTCATCACAAGTGGAAGAACTTCATGTTTTCCTTAAATGATGAAGCCACTCCTTGCCATCACTCCCAACATTCCCTCCACCCTCCCCGTTCACCCTCCAATGTTATTGGTTTGTGATACTGTTGTGCATTTAGGAAGAAATATTCTGACATCAATGTTAAAAGAAGTACTTACTTCTGGAATTTACTAGAGTTGGTCTTATTTTCTAATGCCATTGTGTTTGCTACAGTTTGTCATAGTTTGCTTTAATTTTTGAATGATTTGTGTGTACATAGCAATTCCTGTCTTTTAGTTATATCTCAGGAGAACAGGTGAAAGAGATTAAATTCAGCAACACTAAAGGGTGTTATTAGCTGAAGTCTTTATCATCTGAATATTTTCTGGAAGAGAAGGGCTAAAAGGGTTTATGTAGATGTTTACTTACCGTAAGTATTTCTCTGATCTCCTGTCAGTGTCTGAGGCACTCTGTCAGCCGTAACAGGAGATGCTGTATGGACTTTCTTAAGACTACTAATAAGCAGTTTAGAAACATTTATTTTCTTCTGACAGGGTCATTTCATAGGAGCTGAAAAATGCGTTTTCTGAAACATCTAGTGGATGTTTAGTAAATGAATAGTATACTTCAAGCAGGAAATGATAGAAGGGTGAGAAGAGCTGAGACCACAAGCCAAAAATGTGGGAAGAGCTATTTTCTCTGTAAATTATTTCCTGAAGCTCCTTTTTAGAGTCTTTGGGTTTATTTGCCAACAAACTGCATATAGCTAGTAGCTTGCTGGTTGTATTTTATGAAATAGTTTTAAACATTTGCTAAACTAATATTCAGAAGATCATATGAGCAGTGTAATGGAATTATCTTTTTTGGATGTTGCCTGCATAACTTAACACGTCTCTTACACTCTGACTGCAGAGACCAGCCCCATCATTGCTCAAGAATGCAATCATTTTCTGAGAAATGGTGTTGAATGCTCTAGATAGTATTTTTAACTAAGATGTTACAGATAAACTTTATAAACTACTTTGTAAACTCAATTCTGAGTAACTTCATAACTATTTCAGTTTTATAGATGTATCTTTTAGTTGGCAGGACTTAGGGTTTGTTGAAATTGTAAGCCTAAGTCAGAAATTCAACATTGAGCTCTAAAATGAAAATCTAAAGAAAATGTTGAATTTTAGAATTCCCTTTCCTGATTTAGCAGAATTCTGCATCATCAGTATTCAGTAGGGTCTGCATTGGTTATACCATGAAGGAAAGCTTCTTTTTTTAAACTCGGTAACATGCCTTTTGGGATGCAGGTTTTCCTAGTGAGTTTCCATGTGCTTCATTTCAGATAATCAGCAATTATCAGAGTGTAGCTTTGATCTTATAGTTCATTCAATATTATAGAATAGGTGAAAAAAGGAACTATATGAAGTTGACATAAATGCTTGGCTCTTCTATGTGTGTTCTGGTTCGAAGGTTGGAAAATGTGGGGGTGGAAAGAGGTATGTCTAAAATATTAATATACTCGTTTCAGCATTAACAGGAAGTATAATACTAAATGACTGAGACCAACTCGGGAGTTATGTCAAGTAGTTTCATTCTGAAATAGGTTTGATGTGAGTCACAGAAATACAAATCTTTGTTAGAGTGCTCATAAGCGTGAGTAGTGGGAACACTGTAAGATGCATCTGAGATCAAGGATCTTTTTCCTGTTTTTTCCCTGGTTTAATTTAGTTTCCTTGTACTTAAAGATCAGATGTTATTTTTTAATGCATTTTTTAAAGTACTGATTGGTATTTATGCTTCATAAGGCTAAAATAGTTTTTTTGTTTAGTTTTTGAAAGAAAATAATTTTCCTAGAGTATGAAGCCAGTTCTTACTGCTGGCATAATAGATTTGCTAAGTGTACTGGTTTTCTTGCATGTTAGCATTACCAGTGACTTTTGTTTTGGGCCACTGAAAAAAAATTAGAAAGTGCTAAGTGGAAATTCTGAAAAATAAATTTGGAAAACAGCACGTACGATACAATCCTGAGGAATAGTTAGTGGAACTTCGAATTAAGGTAGTGATGTTCTTCTCTTGATGTCCTTACTTGTTTTCTCGTAATGAGTAAGTTGTGAAGATTGGAGCTTTCTTACAATGTGAAATTAATTCAATTTCTAAGACAGATTCCCAAGTTCCCGAAAGCAGTACCATCCAGTTGCATTAGATATTGGTAGGAGAGGGTAGAAGAGACAGTGTAACATTTTGAAAAGGTAGACATATTGTCATCTATCAGAAGCTAAGTGCTCAGACGTCCCATGACTTTGTTTTCCTTCTGTGAGGAGGAAAACTGTGAGTACTGTCTGCACTTACTTGTTTTAGGAGAGGTCTTTTTCACCTGCTGAAATCTTTTTGTCCTTGTAAGAGGAAGCAATTAAAAAAAGGATTGTGGTTGTAGCTTAAGCATAAATATTCTTACGGTTTGACTGTCTCAATTAACTGACAGATAACACAGGGAATTAGTCTCAGAACAAGCTGATTGTGTAATAGGTCTAATTGTAAACTTTCCATTACAAATGCAAATTCTGTACAGAAGAGAACCTGGAATACTCGTGTATTTATACAAGAAGATAATTGTTATCTATTAAAATGGCTTTTAGGCATTCCTCAACAGCAGAATCATTCCATCTTCTTCCTACTTTGCCACTGCTACTGAACAAAAGTTAGAGAACAGTCATATGTTTTATAAGAAGCCTGTAGTGTGTTATTTATAAATACACATATAGGTGTGTGTATATATGCAAATATATTGAGAAAGCAAAATATATATTGAGATGAAAAATTAAGGCAATCAAAAATATACCAAATACAATTATTGTAGTGCAGCTACTGCCTAAATCCCAAGCTACTTAATTTCTCTGGCCATATTACTCAGTATTCTGTGTTTTCATGGGGTTTCATTTAGGCCATGGACAGTGGGAGTACTGTTGAGAAGGGAAGAATTAGAGGGCAGAAGAGAAAGGAAAAGGAGAGAGAGTGAGAGATGGAGGAATCTGAAGGATAAGTGAGACAGGGAGAGAAAGCGTAACTAGAAAGCAGATGATAGATTAAACGGGTAGGAGAGCAGGAAAAAATTCAGGTCGAAGGGAAGAAAATTATTTTTGCTTCAAAAACAAAGGTAAATGCACTGTGTCCTCTGAAAGGGACTGTAGCAGCTATCTCTGGCACTAATATCAGGATGTCAGAGGACATGCCTGTGCTGCATACGTTTGCCTTGTAGTCAAACCCATGGCAGATTTAAACAGTTTAAATGAATTATGTTGGATACTGAGAACTGTCTAGTCAGAGCAGCATGGATTCTCTGTGGTCGTCTTTATCCTGCCAGCACTGGCTTGTCTGTGTTGTAATGAGTAGGGAATAGTCTGTTCAGTGTTTCATAACATCCTCATTAGCAAAGCACTTGAACACTTAATATAATAATGGAGGTTATAAGTTTCATGCTTACTACTTATGGCCAGGACCTTAAAATTGGATACAAAGTTTCCAGTTTGTTCCTATTAGTAACATAATTGTTTGCATGTAACACCAATAAAAATAATAAAATTTTTAAAGTATAATGTTTTTCCTCATTAACTTAATTTTTGTGTTTATACACAAAAAAGAAAATCTTTGGATATTTCTGAAAGAAATCCATGTAAGAGGTGGTTGAGAAAAGCTTTAATGCATGTTGTCGCTCAAGTTAAAATCAGTTGGGTTTTTGCAGGATGTATCATTTACCATAAATACGCAGTTTATTATTCAAAAAATTTTGTTAAAGTTTTAAAATAATAAAAATGCTGTTTTCTACTTAATGTGAAATGTATTTTTTTCCCTTTGAAAGGCTGGATAACACCTTAGAAGAAATTATATTTAAGCTGGTGCCTGGACTTCGGGAACGTAAGTTTGTAATTTGGTTTTGGGTACTTGTTTGGGTTGATGGAGAGAATATGAGTATTTCTAACAATATACCTGTAGCATTGAACTAAAAATTCACATTACTGTTCTTTGATATTAACTAGAGGAACTGCAGCGAGAGATCGAATTTTGGAAGAAAAACAAACCTCAAGAAAATGGACAAGGTGATGACTTTTTTCCTCTCTCATCTGTATGCTAAGCAAAACAGAAACTCATAACAAATATATCTAAATGAAAAAAATAGCTATTTTTAGAAAGGGATCACTGTCAAGTAACTGTCTTGCAGTACACTTCTGCACTCAACTGTTCATAATACCTTCTTTTCAAGTTCATAACATTTCATTTTGCTTTTTCACTAGTTTTGTTGATTTGCATTTAGGCATCTGCGATAAGGGACAAGGTTCTTTTCTCTGTTACATAATTAAATTAAGAACTTCAGGACAGTTTAGATGAAATTATATTAGTTTATTGCAACATATTGTTGCACTATTCTTTTTAAAAATACTTAGAATTTTTTAATTAAATATAGACAGTCATTGACTGTTTACAAAGCTGTTTTCTGATACACACAAAAAAAGTAAGAGAATTTGTAAATTTGTAGAATGTAACATACTTTTAACCAATTTATTCTTCTGGTTGTTATCTTCTTCCCATAATTTAATAGTAAATACTTTTATGGTATTTAGTTCTAAAATCCTTTTGGAGAAACAATGTCTGGAGTCTTTATAATGACATTACTTAGACCAGGTTAAAAGAGGATAAAGCTCAGTTTTATCTTCCCTAAGTTTACTTCATTATAACATTTCAGATGTCCATTGAGTTATTGCATCAGGCAGTATGAACTGCTTACTTATGCTACTTTGGTATACAAATGTTGGGATTAGTCATTCCACTGTTTATTTAAAAGCATTATTTTTTGGCAGTGAAGTGCCACACAATTGAGTAGGTTTACATGGCTGAGAGATCTCAATGCATGTGCAGTTGCACGGTTTTCATCACTTTGCACAAAAAGGAGCAGATAGCCATAGCCATTGGTGGGCCATCAGTGTAATTAATTTCTGTGACACAGAAACCTGCTGTTTACATTGACATTTCAATATTACAACTTTTATTTTCAGAGATTTGTAAATTCACCAATTTAGGAATTAAAATTTTATTAAGTTAATTTGAAGAGCAGGTTGAAGGAGGTTCTCCTCCCCCACTACTCTGCCCTAGTGAGACACCACCTGGAGTATTGTGTCCAGTTCTGGGCTCCCCAGTTCAAGAGGGACAGGGATTTACTTGAGAGGCTCCAACAGAGGGCTGTAAGGGTGGTTAAGGGACTGAAACACCTGTCTTGTAAGGTAAGGCTGAGAGACCTGGGGCTGTTTAGTCTAGAGGAGAGAAGACTGAGAGGGGATCTTATTAATGCATAGAAATATCTGAAGGGTGAGTGTCAGGAAGGAGGAGCCAGTCTCTTTTCAGTCATGCCGTGTGATAGGATGAGGGGCAATGGATGAGTTTTTCTTCAACATGAGGAAAACTTAACTGTGAGGGTTACCGAGCACTGGAACAGGCTGCCCAGAGAGATTGTGGAGTCTCCTTCTCTGGAGACTTTCAAGACCTGTCTGGATGTGTTTCTGTGTGACCTACCCTAGGTGGTCCTGCTCTGGCACAGCAGTTGGACTCAATGATCTCCAGAGGTCCCTTCCAACTCCTAATATTCTGTGATTCTGTGAAAAAATACTCCCTTGAAAATGAAGCATTGCTTTAAAAATGTTTGTTGCTACTATGACTTTTCATTATTTTATACTTAAATAATATGATCTTCATGTTTTACAGATGAAATTCCAAAAGCTGATAAACCCAAATTAGATGAAGAGTGTGATGAAAATGAAGAAGATAAAGACTATCACAGGAGTGACCCACAGATTGCTATCTGCCTTGACTGTTTACGCAACAATGGACAGTCAGGAGATAATGTGGTCAAAGTGAGTAGTGAAGATAATCTGTGTTTTTACTGTTGGCAGAGTAGCATCTTACAGGAACCAAATAATTTTATAACCATTAAAAATTGACTTTAATGTGGTCACCTGCCTTCACTTCCACGCTTATTTAGTCCTTTTGTTTGAGGCATCTCAATGCATCTTGGAATTTTGCAAAAAATATTATTCCATACCAAGCTCCACATGTGACAGTGGATTTTATTTTTTTTAGTGGTTTATACTTTTATAGTCTACAGCCCTGGTGATATATAACTTCATTACACAACAGATTACAGCATACCACAAAGGTGCTTAAAAAGCTAACTGTAGGTAAGCAACCTCACACTTGCAGGATCTCTGTCTTACCGTGCCAGCAAGAGGCTGGTTTTCAGATTGTGGGGAACAGTCCATCTTCTTTTCCCCCACGTAGACTTTGTGCACTGAATGACTGGGATCCAGATCTTCTGAGCTGTAAACACTGACCTGTTGTCTTCCACCTGGAAAATGTGTAGAGTAATACCTGTTAACTTCTGTTTTAAGAATTAGGGATATTAGTTTTCTGTTGCTAAAAGGAAGATTACCTAGCGATACCAAGTCTAGAAAGTGTTCAGAAATCCTCTTAGAGTTGTATAATGTTTTATTAAATTACAAAGTCAAGAATTTTTTTAAAATTACAATTTGTCTAATAAAACTCTACTTATATTTCCTGTGTGCTATGTTGCTTGTATAATTTTGCAAGTTCTCATACAGTAAGAAAGTTTTGATTCAGAAAGAAAACATATTTATGTGTTATCACTGTCTCTGTATGCACTATATATATATATATCTGTCACCACAGAGGAGTCTCAGGCTTTCAGCTTTCCTGTTGAATCAAAACTATTAGGTTCTGGATAACAGAATCAGTGATAATAGAATACATCTCAGGTTTGTAGCTACCCTGTATTTTACTTAGACTATTTGAAGATGTTTTAACTTTCTTTATCTCTCATGGACTGAAGAAATTCTAAGAAATGTAACATCTGTTTGAGCCTCATTGTTACTACAGCGACAGTGAGATTATTTAAGTTCTTCTTGGGCTTTTGGTGGGTTTGGTTTCTTTCTTTTCTCCCTTCTGTGTCTTGGAGATTTCTTTTGAAACAAAGATGGGGCAAATGAACTTGTTTGTGAAACTGTGGTACCATTATGCATTAGAAGAAAATACAGTAAAATATGTTACTGGTTTAAAAAAATACCAATTACAGCTATTCTTGCTCTAAAGATTGCTTACATGCTCCAGAATTTCTAAAATGTTTTTTTCTATTTTGTTGTTGTTGCTTTAGGGTTTAATGAAGAAATTTATCCGCTGTTCTACTCGAGTGACTGTGGGAACTATCAAAAAGTTTCTCAGCTTAAAATTAAAACTTCCAAGTTCTTATGAGGTACATTTAAAAGAGCGATACTTGTATTTTTATTTCCCTGTAAAGTATTAGGTTTATGTGAAATGTAATAATTTTTTAACTTAAGGATCATTTTTTTTAGCCCAATCACTAAGTACAGGTCAATACTCCAAATCATGTTTTCTGCCCTTAAATGAGAAGGCATCATTCTGTGATTCTGTGATTTTATAACAGTGACTAAAGTTGCTAATCAAGGAACTCATGCAATTCTAGTAACTTCAGTTTGTTGCTCACCTTTACATTAGGTTTTGATATTTTTATATTAAAAAAAAAAAGGTTTTATCTTTCCATGTGACTAACAAAAAAGTCACTTAATACAATTAGTAGGTGCTGGGGAAAAGGAGAGCTCCACTAGACATACACTAAATTACTTTGCAGTTTCATTTTATTTAGATGTAAGAAACCATCCATTACTTATGAAGAAATTAAGAACATTACCATTTGAATCTTTCAAAATGCAGATAATTTTTTTTGCACACTCTCTGGAATTAGGTGGAGTTTCATGGAAAGAGGGTATTTGTTGCATGAGTGATTTGTTCTTGGCCAAGACTGCTCCTGGAGGGATTTCCTAATGTGAGGGAAGTTGTGATGCAGGATGGAGCTGGGAAGTGTGAGACTCCTAACTCTGCTTACTTTTTCCTAAGGATACAGGAATTTTGACCTCAGCACAAGCTATTTCTGTAGCTAGTTCTCTTACAGGAGTCAGTGACTGCATGAACTGCAGGCTGCCTTTAGCACAAATAGCAACTTTGCTCAGAAATAGGGCTGTGTTAAGTTACATGCCCAGGTGACTGCAGAGCTCTACATGAGAGCTTGTCACAGTATCATTTTGATGCATTTGGTATTGTTTATTATGTTAATTTAATGTGTCTCTGTCATCTTAATGACTTGTGTTACATAGTATCTGATTACCTCAAAATTTTGACATTTGTTTCCTCTAAAAATCAGAACAGCATTATGGCTACAGTCGTGAAAGACCTTTCAAAGGTTTCAGATGGAGGGTAGAAGTATGCTAAAATATGGTTTAAAGTTTAAAGTCATTAAGTCATTACTTTTCCTTTTGCCTTCAGTTAATCAACATCCATGTTAGTGTACTCAGAAGTGCATTTTCCTAGTCATTTATAGTTATTTTTTAAAATAACTGTTAAAAATTACTTTATCATTTCAAAGAGCATTGACACAGCAAGAAGACCCTTCCAGATATAGCACAAGGCTTCCTCTTCAGAGAGATACTGTGTAGTTTTGGTAAAAATATAGGGAGTATTTTCGTCTGCTAATTATTTCCTACCTAGTTTAGCAGACTTTCTTCTGTCTACATCTTAAATGAAAACACAAAAGTGAAAAAATGAAGTATACTTCAATGAGGTATACTAGTGCACAAAGTAGCATGTTGTCAGCACATTGTATTTATGCAAATCTGATATAAAGGTCTTATAGAATTACTGTATAGTGATAGGAGTTGAGGGATTAACCCTCAAAGATTCTCTTCAAAGTTCATTTAGACATTTAAAATTATGTCTTACTGTTTGTTCTATTGTATTTTAAGCTGGATGTACTATGCAATGGAGAAATCATGGGGAAGGATCACACTATGGAATTCATCTATATGACAAGATGGAGACTAAGAGGCGAAAACGTAAATGTTATTACATTATTAATACATTATGTTTTGGTATATTCTTTACAGAGAGTATAAATGCTTTCGCAGCTTGGTTAAAAATATATTCTCTGACCTTTCAAAAAAACATTAAAATTAATTTTACATGCTTTCTAGATTTCTTGTTAAACCCTATGAGTGAAACCTTGCAGCATATATATTATGTAGAATCTGAAACCTTAAAATAACAGGTATACAAAGTTTACATGCAAGTTCTGTTCTGACTTTTAAGTATCTGAAAACCCAAGTGCTTGTTCTTTTTCTGCAAATTTGCTTTTAGTGACCTTTTGAGTTACAGTAGTTAGAGCACCTGCATCCAACAGTTCCTTATTAAGAAGCTTGTTTTATTCAGACAGTAAACTGAAAGTGGCACTGAAAAATTATTTTTTAAATCTAATTGTATTTTTACTGTTTCTGTTCATGTTGCACCCTTTTTTTAGATACGACGTATAACACGTATCATCCAGATAACACATCTAAATGAGTTTTCCTTGCTCCATGTGTATATTTTAGATCACAATATTAAACTTACTAAAAGACATTTCTTTCAGGTCTGATATTCACTTTGATTTACGAGCCCTTATATTGTCTTATATATATAATTTTATTTTTCTGTTAAAAGTCGTATTTCCATTTCTTCTCTTTCTTTTATGCATTAATTTGTGTTTGGCTGTTGATTATTCTTCAATCTTAATTGCTGTGTAGTATATGCAGATTTGTTGTCTGTCACTACCAGTGGAGACTATATTGGAGTGCAGCTAAGGTTAAGCACTTGACATAAGTTCATGTGCTGGTCTATAAAAAATTCCAAACTTTCTGTACTTTTTTCTTTCGTTTTCTTTTTTTTTTTTTTTTTTTGTAGCTCCCTAGTAGTCAGAATAAAAAGCACTGGGGCACAGAGAACACAGATGATTAAGCACACTGAGGAGTTAACAATTCACAAGTTTCTTAAAGTTTTACCTTAATCTGAAGGAGAGGGAATAAGGATAAATATTTATAGGAACTAGAGGAGTTAATATATATAGGCAAGTATTTGTTCATTTTGAAAGTAATATTCCACTGAAATCTTATGATCGCTGAATCTCCAGTGTTGTACCAATAAGGGAGCTTTAAGTAGGACTTTTTCCAACATTAAGCTCCCTAGTAGTCAGAATAAAAAGCACTGGGGCACAGAGAACACAGATGATTAAGCACACTGAGGAGTTAACAATTCACAAGTTTCTTTAAGTTTTACCTTAATCTGAAGGAGAGGGAATAAGGATAAATATTTATAGGAACTAGAGGAGTTAATATATATAGGCAAGTATTTGTTCATTTTGAAAGTAATATTCCACTGAAATCTTATGATCGCTGAATCTCCAGTGTTGTACCAATAAGGGAGCTTTAAGTAGGACTTTTTCCAACATTGCCAAAACTAGTGGGTGTTTGTTTGGTTTGCCATCTTATATTTTTGTTAGCATTGGCTGTAGTATTTGTAAGCGTTGCAGCAACACTGAGAACAGAATTCTTTCATGACTTTTAATCCTGCAGCCTCTGCTTCCAAAAATGGACTTTTGGGAGTTGTATTGCTTAGGAAGCAACAGTAACTCTTGACAAAAATGTCATTATTTGTACTCATTAAAATTGTTTAAAAATCTCAGAACTGTATCTTATAACATCAAGTGAATCTAAAAGTTGACAACTCCCGACTAAAATTATTAGTTGTGTTAACATAAGCGTGGTGTGATCAGATGTGTGCTCATCTTTTCCTTTATGTAGTTTTAAATCACCTCCCTGAAGTCAGAGATGGCAAACTAAAACCTGTAAAAAAATTACATTGTGCTGGTAATAAATCCAGTAACATTTGGACTTCTATGATTTTATTCTCCTTAACTTTGTTGGGTCGTGTTATAAAAAAGGAATTTCAATGGTTAAGTAAATCCGTTATCTCCACCTTTGGTACCATTCATCATGAGGTTTTATGGCACACCTGTGGACCCTACAAGAACTAGAGTAGTAACGGGAAATTATCCATTTATTCATTACAGAAGTCTCTCCTGTTTAAAATAAGTAAATTAATTTTAAGTTTTACATTTAAAAAATTAAATTAAATAACAAAAAAACCAACACAAACAACAACAAACAAACCAACATTAAATGGTAAATGTATATGTCCAGCTGTGGATGCCTCTTATCTGATCAGAAAATCATCTCCTTCGCAGTTTCGGTGTCAGAACTGCTCATCTTCGCAAGCCTGCTCACAGGATGGCACTTTTTATCAGGTAAGAGGCACTCATGACTGTACATACTACAGTCGTTAAGGTCCTGTCAGCACTTCAGTTGTATTCCAACTTTTGGAATTTTTATAATTCCTCACTACAAAGTGCTAAAACTCTATGAGCAAGGTTTGAGTCTTTTTGTTCCTTCAGAGAAAACTTTATCGAATGGATAAATAGAATCTATTCAAAAGATTTAGGGATTTCTTTTTCTTTACATTAGTTCGTGTATCTTTTTGTTAGAGATACCAGACTGTATCAGCCTGGAAGGGTTATCTGCCTCTTCCTGTCTCATCCTTCTAACTAGTAGCATTGGGCACTCACTGACAGGGGGTCAAAACTGAAGGCTGTGAATCAAAAGAGACTAGATTAGTTTCATCGCTTTATGGCAATTCATATGCCCTTTTTAAAGGAGTAAAGGAATGTTTGATTTTTCTAATAGTGTATTCCTTTCACATCTTTTAAAATTGGAAATAAAATGATGCTTTATCTCTAGTATAGAGCTAACCAGAGCTGCCAGAATCCACAAACTGAGTTGATTTGTAAATTTCATTGATCAATCTAGTTCATAGCTGTGTGAAACAATATTTCAGTTTCCTCATTGTGAATTTTGATTTGGACTAATTTCTAAAAGTTACTTTGGAAGTTTGAAATAATATTTTTGCTTAACCAAAAAGTTAAAGTTAATGATAGAGGGTCACTCCCCATTATGGATGACAGTGACCTACTGCATTCATGTCTGCTTCAGTAATTAGAATTGTTCTGGCATAGTGCATTCTGTTTGTACAGTTGCTTTGTAATTTTGTTTGTTAAAACACTAAGCCTTACTGGTTTGCATAGCTGTTTCAGCCAGGTGACTGCTCTGTCTCTGCCTGTGTGCACTTCCAATTAGAGTTGGGTACTTTTAGAGACAATTTATGTAATCAAAATGAAAAACACGTGAAATAGCATTTGATTAATACGGTGGTAATTCTATAAAAAAGAATCTGCAACCAGGTCACTTATGGTTCTACAACTATATGTTTGCTAATTGCGCTTGCAAACTACACATGGTGCTTCCTGTCTTCTCTCCCAAATGCTCCTGCTACTGTTGAATACCTCTGGATTTATGTTGTCATTTCTCTGCACTCCAGTTTGTAAATTTCAAGCAAATATGATCACATTTAGTTTTGGTGATCATTTCACTACCATGGCATGGCAAGTTTATTAATCTGTCTCTGCAGTTATATCTTTCTCCTTTGGTTGCTGAAGTTCATCTGTATTGCATTTGAGGGATGCAGTAAAGTGTTTCTGGTTTTAGTGATAACTCCTGTAATAATTCTTTGTGTTTCCAAACTTGTAAGAAAAACACCCTTAAATTAGCTGTGACATTCTGCTCTGTGGCAGAGAGATAGTTATGGCCATAGAGCTTCTTAGACAGGAAGATTTTCCTGCGTTTTGTGCTATAACATCCAGTATCCTAATGAAGTTAAGAGGAAAACATCAGACTTAAATGAATTACTGACAGACTGAAAAGTAAGACATTTAGTAAAACAACACTTCCAGCAACATGGCACTTTTTGGAAACCCACCCACTCTTGCCTCCCGTTCCACAACAGTTTTGTCTAGTTCAGGGATCCAAGCAGTTTAGGGTTTTTTTTCCTTCTCCAGTAGCAACTAAGAAAAATATATCACTAGATCTAAAGTTGAGGAGTTTGGATTTGGGGGAGATGTTAGCTCTCATCTCTCAAAAAAAAATTCAGCTGACAGCAATTTAAACTGTTTTATGATGGGTTTTTTTTTCCTGTTTTATTTGTATTTAAATACCTGAGTAGCCTGGCTCCCTTTAAGTAGTGCTGACTACTAGTATAGCTATGGTGCCTCCACGTACATGAAAATAAAATTAAATACATCACCTGTACATAGACATTGGTTTAGAAAGTATGAAATTTCCAAATTGCCTTTTCTCAAACACAGCAACAGAAATAAGAGGAGTTGTCTGAGCATTCCAAGTGTGTATGTCATAAAACAAATAATGAAATATATAAAAACAGATACACGAATTTTAGATTAATGATGAATAATTGCAACTAACTGACTTAGAGTTTAATTATAGATTTGAAATACAAGTATGGATTTAACTGTTTAAATGTATAGAATTATGTCATACGTGAAACTGATTGTTACATACATGTGTCTTAGGAATAAGTTCTGGCTATTCTTATGGCAATCTTTAACTGTGTTTTCCTTGTTTTTTTTCATGAAATATGTTCTCATGTTTTCTTGTCTGTTTTTGTTGTTATTTTCCTGTTGCTTTTCTTTTTAGTCTTACCCTATGGTACTTCAGTATCGACCTAGAATTGACTTCGGTTAGACCAAAGGGCCAGATCCCACTGAGATGAATCCTGCACTATTTGTTTACCCATCGACAGATTGCACAATGAATGGATGTGCCTGGATTAGGGGGACACAACCAGATTTTCAGCATGCAAATAAGGACATTGTCTTTCTTAAAATTGTCAGTTGCATCTCTGTTGTTTCTATTAGAGCAAGCCAAGTGCCATTCTGCTACTGAAATGTGCATAAGATATTTGTGTATCTCACAAGTGTGCTGCAAATCATAGCCAAAATCATGAAATGTACAAGATTCAAAAACTATGGAATATTTTTGCTGGTGTGTTAGAAAATTTTTCTGGTCCTCATATTGATTACACTAGCAAAATGGCAGAGTGCTCATTCCATGCTGTGTTGAAGTTTCACACACTTACTATTTTACTGAATATGGTTGTTTAAATCATAGAGTACTGTAAAAATAGCTATGGGTTAAACCTTGAAAATATTTTGTATAGAAAATATATTTAGAAAAGTGGTGATTGGGCCACTACCTTTTTTCATTATAAGCTTCTCATGGTTCCAGGTATAGCTCACTCATGAGTGAGCAACAGTCCTTTTGCAGTGAATGAAGATAAATTACACTTAACAAGAGATGTAGAACATGGTAATTTAAGACAGCAATTTTAAATCTTCTAGCTAGATTCTGCTAATATTGCCTAAAAGAATTGCTGCCTTTGTGATTGCACTTTTCTATGGTTTCCCTAAAGATTGGAATTTGGAATACTAGCTATTTTTTGAAAGTGGCTTTTGGTCAGATTACATTTCTTCTAATAAAACCTCCTTATAAATAACATTTAAAATAATTGAAATGTCTATGGAACAACTATGTTTCACTCGTAAGATTACAAGCAAGGCAAGATGTTACATAATTATTGCCCTTCATAGTAAACATTTCCTTTTAGGATTGGCTGGAGGTATATAATATGCCAAGAGTAAAAAGAAAATATAATCTTTAATTACATGATAGGTGTCTTGTGACTATCTGGAATTTAGAATACATTACAGAATTTTTCATTAGTTGAATTCACGTCATAAAACTAGTTCCATAAAATTAGAGGTAATGCAATACTGAAAATAAGCAGTCTGACCAAAATAATCATTCAGAACATTTTTTATTCTTTTTTTTTCTAAGACCTGGTAGCAGTGGATAAAAAGTGATTGTTGCCTTAGGTATTGCAAGCATAGTGGTTCTAGTATAGAAGGTTTATTGGCGATTCTGGTAATGTTGCAGGGTGCATGGTAATGAATATGTTTTCTGTAGTCTTCCATTGTCTTTGCTCTGCTTAAAAGTCAGTTGAGTTTTTCACTTCAGATTCCATGGAGATACTTACAGCTCAGTACCTTGATATAATTTCTTCTTAATACACACCTGCTAGTTTTGTAGATAACTATATACTTTCTTATGCTTTTTGCATACAGGAAAAAGGAACCAAATAGATTTTTCTGAAGCTATTATAGATTGAGCTAATCATTCTTATATAAGACAAAGTGAAAATTCTATCATGGGATCAAATATAAAAGATAGATGCAAGGCTGTAACTCCTTTGTAAATTTGTTTGTGTACATTAGTAGGTTTCTGTAGGAGAAATAAGCATGTTGTGGATTAAATCTGGCCCCTTTAAAGTTAGCAGGAGTTCTAACATTGATGACTTGGAGGAATCCATGTACAGTTGGGTTGAATTCTACCAGTGCACTCCAAATCCCAGATGATATGCAGAAACAAGATGCCAGCAGTAGCAGTCCAATTAGGAAACCTGCCATTGCAGGTCAAGGTTGCACATATTGTGCAGATGCCAGTGAACCTGGGGAAGAAAAACATTTAGAAAGCTGCTGCTCCTTTCTGCAGGCACCAGGTGCTAACTGATAAGGGCACTGGTTTGCCCGCATTGTAGATGGGAAGGGCTGCACATACTGGCTGCAAGAGGCAGTCATCTGTTTGCCCACCTGTTCTGTGATGTGCTACTTGACAGAAACAAGATGATGTAGGGAAGGCCCTTCTCCGCTGCAGAGTCTCTAGGGAAAAATAGATTCTTTGTTTATAGAGAGGTCCTCCTCATGGAGCAGCTTGGAAGAACAGAGCATGTATTCTAATTGCAAATCATTCTTCTCTTTAGTATACATACTTGTTTTGTACGAAAGAAATAGGATATTATTTGTAAATATTTACATGCACATACAAAGACACCTTACAGTTTTATATCTTTCATGTGTTTTTATATCAGAATTTTCACTGTAGATTCACTTGACATAAAGCGCCTGCTTCAGTTTATCACAAAACTAATGATACTATTTTTAAGCATAACTTCTGTTTGGTTCAGAGGACAATTTTTTTAACCATTGTGCTTGCTGTTTTGACAAATTTGAACAGAGTTGTTCTAAAAAGAGTAGATCACATTGTTTTAAATCCATTTTAAGTTATCTTATTCAGTAGTTTGCATCCACCTAACAGGACCCCTGAAATAGGACTACTTTGTGTTGGTTTCTGAGTGGCAAGTAATGCAAGATTTGACTATTTAATGACTGTCTGTATTCACGGTTCAGAAAACCTTGAATTCTCTTGATCAGAATTGAACATTGGTTTAATTCATTATTTTAATGCAACTTAAAGCTATGTTACAGAAGGCAAATTTTCATTTTAGTAATGGAAGATAATGACAGATATGATTGAATGTTCCCAGCTGAGAATCATGGCATTAGATGCATTTGATCTAGCCACCTACACTTTATGTATTTCTGATTTGATGGCACAGCACCTCAGTGCTGTTACAGTTTAATAGGTTTTGTAGCATTTAAGTGCCACGGAAATACGTATCTTAAGTGGGCAGCTTGTATAATACAAGCATTGCCTTCTTCACAGGAAATTTCTCTCCCATGTAGTACATACGTGCCATGTGTCTACAGATATGCATACTTAGTTAATTTATGCCAATTAAGAATATCTGATCAGCATAGGAATATAAGAATATGTGTACAGATTCTTGTGTGCCAAAGAGGGGTAAAGTGAAATGAGTACCTAAGCATTCTGTTAAAACTGCATCATATGCCACCCTAGAGCAGATGACTGTATAGTCACATTTTATGAGCATTTTCCTGACAAAGTTTCACCACTGCATATTTGTAAAGAACAGGAATATAAAATAAGTGTTGCTGCCACTGTGTTTCTATGGCTTTCCCATATTGGTAGTACCTAGTTGCAGAGTAATAAGACCTAAACAATTCTGCACTACTACCTAGTATTGCTGTCTTTCCCCCTAAAAGTTAAAAACTTGTGTCTCCTTTTAATTCTAAGTAACTCATTAATACAAGTCAAAAGCAACTTTTCTTTGAGCATAGCTATGTGCTGCATTTGTCTAGTACCAAGCTATAAGCTAGAATTTACACATGAGATCCTGTAATCTTTCAAACAATATGGAATTACATCATTAATCAAGAAATGTATCTTTCATTGTGCATTGCTACACTGCCCATAGCTAAGGGCCTAGTCCTATAAACATATTTTTATTTGGATGAAATACCAAATAAGATTACTACAATAATCTAAGTGACTCATCACTATAGTAGGTACTGTTCACATGAAAAACTGGTGTTTGGGTCCTAGGAGTATGCAATGCTGGAATATTGTGCATACTCAGCTAGCTTGCAATTATTATGCAAAAAACATGTATAAAAAGTATTATTTTTTTCTTTACTGAAAATGCTATATGAAGCAAAGTGCCTGATTATTGATACAGAATACCTTTTAAGCCCATTATTTGCATTTGGTAGGGTAATATTTGCTTCTGTATTTTATCTATGGTCTTAATATTTCCAGCAAGAATATTTCATAAGCATGCTGTATTGAGAAGCTTTATAACATGGTAAACAAGCAGAAAAAGAATTGTGTTCTGTTGGATAATTTAAAATTTTAAAAGAAAAACACCTATCTCGGTAGGAAATATATAAATTACTTTTATATTGAAACTGTTTCATTTTATGCATGAGGAACCCTTGAATTCTGGATCTTTGTCCACTTTTCCTCCAGTTTCCAACAACTTGACTTGACTTTTCTGCAGTTATCAAAAACAGTTCCAGTATATCTGCAGGAGAAAAGAGATTGGTCACATTCCCTTCAGATACAAGCTAGGCTCTTTGTTCTCTTCTGCAGACAGAGTGGTCCAGAGTTCCATCTCATCTCTCCCATGGATAACTGTTAGACATGACTTTGTGAGAGAAGTAAATAGTCTTTCTTTCTCTGCTGTTTTTTAAAGCAACAAAATAGGCCAAGTTTCGGTCCTTTAGTTGAACCAGTAACTGAGTTGTATAGTTCCATTTGAGGGGCTTTTTTTTACATTTTCTTATCACTGAAGACACAAAGAGGCATTGACTTCTCAGAAAAAAATGTTCTTGGGAGAACTTGAAAGGAAAGGAGTAGCATCCAGCTCAGCCTGATACTATGTCAGGTAGAAAGACTAGAGAACCAGATGGGTATTCAAAGCCAATCTGAAGTCTCAAAATGAACTGACTGAGCCCTGTTTATGCTACATAAAATAACTGGTCGGTTACATGGACTGATCAAACATAATTTTATCCCAGAAAAGACTGAAGGCAGCTAAGACTTATATGCCTATTCACAGCAAATATATAAACAGAGATGTTTAAATCAAGAGCTTAGTCCAGTTTCTTCACTTAACCTAGACAGGTTGAAGACATCTGTTTACTTCCATCAAAAATGCATAGATCATGCAGGATATTCCTCTCTCATTTTACATCATGCTGTGTTATATTCCATTTACTGTGCTCAGTTAAAATGTCTATTCAGGCACCCTCTGTCTTGTAACTAATTCTAGGTTCTTACTCATCTTTTGCCCAGTCCCATCCCCACCCCATTTCATGCCCAACAAGTAGAAACATTGTAGAGTTAAAAATGAGAAATTTCACCTGTGGAATCAGCTCACAGGTTTCATTCATCAGGCAGCATTCATGGATTTGAGCAAAGTTTTCACAGTTCTGCATTTGGAATCCTTTATAGCTGGTTTGAACAAGATAATGCTTCTTCTGGGTGCTCAGCTGAAGACACTTGTTTCAGAAAGGATTGCAGTCTACTGGAGCATGTTCCAGGATCAATTTGAAGACACAAGAGGATTGACTCAACCTAAAGGAAATGTGAAAAGCTTCCAACTGCTCATTTACCACTAGTTTTATCACATATGGGTAGTCTTGCCTTCAGACCTCAGCTGAAGCATCCTTCTACAGGAATGTCCTCCAAAAGATGATCTTATAGTGGTAATATATGTTCCTTCATAAAGAAATTCAACAGGTAGATCTGCTTTAATTTTATTAGATTATTGTCTACACTGTCTCTAGATCAGATTAAACCATCAGATTCCAGAATAGGAAATCAATTCATTAATAAATTCCTGACAGATTCTTCCATCCAAGGTATGTGCCCTAAGTCTTCTGAAGTCAGGTATCTTTCTACTGCAGTTGAGGAAGGATGTCTTTTCTTTCTCTAGGGAGCAACTTAAAGCTGTTCAGTTCTGGAGTGTGGCAGTGAAACGGAGGGGCTCTATAGGTGAATGAAAACTTCCATGCTCTCTTTTGTACTTTTATTAAGAGACCCAATTCTGTAGGCTCAGGATGGAGAGACATTCTGGAAGGAAAGATGTCTGCAAGTGGAATTTTTTGTTATTACATTATTTTTTACCAAAGAGAGACATTAGCTTGACTTTTCATGTTTATCTGAACCATTAGGTCTACTTTTCTTTGAAGTAAATTTTATGTGTATTTTTAGCAAATGTTTCTAACAAGGTTAATAATGTAAC